CTCTCTCTCTCTCTCTCTCTCTCTCTCTCTCTCTCTCTCTCTCTCTCACAAACACACTATTCAGGGAATCATTTCCACTATACTAGACAGTTGGGCCATTTCATCTCTACTGTTCTCAGAATCTAATGACGCCTGGGGGCCTCTGCAGAGAGAGGGAGTGAGGAAGGTAATTTGAAAAACGATCGAGGGGAAATTAGCTTGACATCATATTAGTTTGGGTAACTATGTAACAGACAAAAACTTTTTTAAATGACTTATGTTGAACATTTTAACGAGCATTCATTATCTAGCATTCATTGTATTTGAGAAAAAAGAATGACATTTAAAAAACCTAGCTCAACTTATTATCACATACTTGACAGAGCTTTCCATCTTGTCTTGTGTAGAAATAAAAGCACGGGACAAAATGGATCGAACCTCCCGAGTTGCATCTTACCACGTGACAGCATCTTTCGCGGAGCCTTGTCCTTCTTCTCCTTCTCTTCATTTTCATACTCATCCTTTGAGGACTTCTCCTCTTCCTTGTCTGATGGACAGCTGATGTGAAGCTGGATGATATCCTGGAAAACCACATTCCATTGCTATGAGAAAAGATGGTTACATTTTGGATTCTAATTTTTTTGTTTAGTCTACTAAGCACTGTTATTCCTACACAAACTGTAGTTGCACACAAGAAATTGCAGTGTCGGCTGACCACGGGGCGAGGAAAGAGGTTAGTGGGAGGGGTTAGGGGTTAGAGACGGGAACAGTACCGAGTCTGGAAGTCCATCATTGGAGAACGGACCAGAGGACTCCTCACACACTGCCAGACTCCGTACCAGCTTCAGTTTGGCATTAGACTGAAACAGAATCACACATATATTACCTGTAAGGCTAATTACGTTTGGTTTTTTTAGGGATTTTAAATGTAGCTGATACGTATATAAGTTCCCTGTTATAATAGGACATTAATCATTGTCACTTACAGTAAACAAGGTTCTCTAACAACAAGCACAGCTCAAACACTGCTGGTAATATGAAATTAAGAATGGGTAGCTGCTGATTCAGCACCAACGTATCTTGAAATAAAAAATAATAAATGCTGAACTAAACTAAAGGGTACATGCACAACAGAGTATTATCACAATCCGCCTTTTCACGTCCTGTATTATTGGTTTTTTTTGCATCGTTAGGAGCAGGGCATGCACGGGATGTTATGAACTCTCTTGAACTCCACTGCCTTGACACCTTTAAAAGATGCACACAGGTCTAAAAAATAAGTTAATAAAAGTTTAAGAGAGCTACAGTTTAAGAATACAAATGTTAGGGTTTTCTTCATTTAAGGGACAATAACTTAAGATAATGATCAATGAGCAGAGGCTTATGATGTAATTATACAGGGTTCATGGCTCTATACACCTACTTATCCAAGTGTCAATTACATTTATGACGGGACAAAAAAGGTTTCCTGTATTTATAGTTAAAAATAAAGAAAAGCAATAATCCAACAAAAATAATAACGGCTTAGTTGGCTATAAACTCTTGATTTCCAAAACAAATTTGGTGAAATCTGCTGTTCAGCTGCGTTAAACAATGAGAAGAGATACTAAGAGGTGGTATGAACGCAATAATGTCAAAGATAAGACTCTCTCATATCGACCGGTGCAACTGGAGTTCACAGCCAACGTCCCTACAGACGGTCACAGTGTGCTTCCACTGACCGTTTACGGCCAAAAGACACAGACTGCAACACCAGCCAAGAGGTCGAAGCAAGACAAAAAAAGATCAACTTCACTCTGTATCTGAATGCTGCTTACTCAGTGTTAGAGCTAGAGCGATAAGACCAACAGCTGCTCCACTCTACTCCACACAACTCACCCCATTTGGGAGTCAATCCAGCAAACTAACATCTAGTAATGATATTATAGACTTTATCAACAGTGTTAAGTGGGTCGGTGAGGTCACTTTACCAGACCTACTTTTAACCCTCTCGTGGGATTTAAGATTTTAAGCCGATGATAGGTAGAAGTTGGTCCACTGCAGTTGAGAGGATTAGTACGTTAATAATGGAAGGTCATTTTATACAGCAAACCAGCATGGAGTTATTCCAGGGATTATTTCAGGGAGAAGGATTACAAAGTTATCTGGTTTTGTAGTGGTTTTGAAAAGGGGGGAAATAGTTAAAACCAAATTGCTCACCTTGGCCCTTTTCCTTCCATGGCTGTGATTAGGAGCCCGTTTCTGCAAGAGAAATGTGTTATTTCACTAATTTTAATAATCTTAATAATAATAATAATAATAATAATAATAATAATAATAATAATAAGTAAAACATTAAATACACAATATAGCGACTTGATTAAAGAGGCTGCTCATACCTCCAGCACATACTGGAGTTCAATTTGAGTTTACCACACTCACGTTGTTCCACTGAATATTAAGACATTTCATGTTAATTAAAGTCAAAAATTATTTGTATGACATAAACCGAAAGCTGTATAGTGAAATAGTACAGATATAGATGCATAAACTTTTAAATGCCAAGTCTCTGTATTGCATTTACAGGACATGCAACATAGATAGATTAAACTTGATTTCTTGACCATGCCTGTGCCTAAACGGGTTTGTAACAGGGCTTCTAAAAGATGCATGTGCATTTTATAGATTGTCAGCAGTGAAAGTATCACTGTAACGGCTGTGTGTCCTTGTATCCAAAATGATCCAAAATCTAAAGTCTAAAACGGTTGTGTGAAAAATACAGAAAAATGCTAAAAGAATATGGTGTGCATATATAAGTATGAAGCCTTTCCTCTCTAAAAACACTTAAAATATGGACGCATTGTTATGGACCAGCTGAATACAAATGCTAGCTTTGCCGTAGCCAGGTTATTGCAGAGCATGTAGACACACTCTAATGTCCTGCTTTCAATTGGTTTTATGGAATTATTAAACAAATCCATCACTGTAATTCACATAATAATGGTCTATAAGTTGCTACTAGCACTTCTACTGTATATTCCTCCCACCTGTGCATCCTGGGGGGCACCATCCTCAGGCTCCAGGCCCTCTCCTGTCCCTTCCTTGGTGCACTGTGGTTGAGGGGAGGTCTTGCCTCGACTGCAGGGCTCAATGAGTGGCCCACTCTCTCCCTCCTGCTGGATGTCTGTTGTCAGGCTCACTGACATCTTCTTAGGGGAGGGGGAGAGGGTGGGAGTTGGGGGAGGGGTTGGGTGGAGAACCCAGGAGTGGCTGACGGAAAAGAGGCAAGAAAGAGAAGGGAAGTCAAGGCTCCGACAGCTCTAAACACTAACGGGCTGTAAAAACGAATGACCAAAGAGTCCGATGCATACAGTATTTGTCTGAGAGTGTACTACTATACCATCTACCTGTAGGTGGTACCAGATCTTTGCTAGACTCTGTACAGTGAGTCTGGATGGGAACCACACAGGAAGATGAGGGGAACCCACTAAGGCAGTATACTGGGGTGGGCTGCAGCAGGGGGCGAAGCGCAGTCCATAGCACGCCTTAGCCTTCGGGATGGGGCTGAGACGAAACCGTACGGATGAGAAGAAACTGTTAAATGACTGGTTCCTGCAGCACAACTGTGAATATCTTACACTGGTTTGTTTCATTACATGTTCAGAATAGGTTGCGTCATTTTAGGGAGGAAAACAATTCCGAACAGATACAGAAACTACATTGTTGGTGACAAGTTAAGACTATTAACATCTTCATTTTTACATTAAATAACGTATATTTGTAATGTAATTGTAATCTCTACCAACATGACATCTATACGGCTTACACTTCCTGAGTGACAACTCAACTCTGACTAATGAAACTTTAAACATTATGCGTCACGGTGTTTTAGCAAAAGCAAGAACTTTTTCATTTCATTCACGAGAATCAGTTAAGATAATTTCAGTACAAACAAGACTTGTGAAAAAAAAGACACAATGTTACAGGAGTATCAACATGCACGAGAAAAAAAAAGGCAGCGATATTTACAGCGATCAGGTGAACTGAAGAGGCAGCAGCTAGCCGGCCAGATAAAAGGGGAGGGGCACACCAACGGGCCAGCCACCACCTCAGCGGTCCTCGCTCGTTTCTCTCCCTCCGGCTCAGTGCAGCAGCATGGTCTGTCCTCCAGTCAGGAGCCCTGGACACCAAGAACAGAAGAGGAAGACACGAATGACGTCATGTTTCACACACTGAGTGACTCATCGCTGCTGCTGCTGCTGCCGCCGATTCTAGCAGGGAGGGGGACAAAGCAGCTGAGAGCGCACAGCCTACTGGCACACAGTGCTGCAGATCTCTACAGCGTGGGCAACACTCTTTGTGAATGGAACTGTTTGTTTTCTGAGAAAGAACAAGTTTAAAAAAAAAAAAAAAAAAAAAAAAAAAAAGAGTTTTCCCCCTTCAAACTAAAAGACTGATTGCAGTGGAAATGATGAAAATACCTTTACACAAAGAATCACTGAACTAAATATGGATTTTTCAGTACATAGATTCTGTACATTTGGAATGGTTACAATGCTCATCAATTGATACACCAGCACTAGCTGCACTTTCTCACTCTCGCTGCTCTCCAACAGTGAGTTAACACACACCTCGACAAAGCCCATTCTACCGTTCTCTGCTACTAGCTGGTGCTATTTGTACTGCCACACAATCAAGAACGCAATGCATGACAGAAGCAGGATGGTAGTCGTCATTTGTCTCACCAGCTTCAGTTTAACATACAACATAAAAACACCTAGACGTATCCCAGTTAAACCCTCAAGACATCTTCTCACAACAAACTCAAGAACTTAACTAAACATCCACCAATCACACAACACATTTAGAATCAAGCAGCGCCTCCTTAATCTTCATGAACAAAAAAGATTATTATTACTGCAATAATCCTATCCTTATCATGACTAGCATTCTTTCTTGCCCTCACTTACTTCCTCTAATTGACATCATTAAACCCATTTTCCAAGCATGGAAAAACATGACACAGAACCGCAAACAGCTTTGGGGTGAATACTGGCTATAAGCCAGTATCTCTAATGATAAGCATTACTCCCGTGCACAAACAGACAGAGATGAATAACTACCCATCTGTCCTCCAAGCTTATATCTTCTGGTATCACAGGGTCAACAGCAGCATCAATCCTGCATGAAAGGAAGATGACAAGTATGCATGAAATCCCATATGCACGCATAGTGAGATGAAGCGCAAGCGAGCACAAATTGAGGCATCAGAAGCGTGATTGCCAGATTCCATGCATGCAGCATGGATGAGTGCCGTTCATGCATGTCCCTGCCTGTGCTGCAGGATGGATGAGATGAGTGAACAAACTAGGCAGGGATTCCCAGTGTGGGGAGACCCGGGCAAGGCAACAGCAAAGGCGTCATCAGCAGCAGCATTACAACACATCACTGACCAGGACACCCACATGCCCCAACCCCACTCTGCTTATATAAGCCGGCCACACAGTAGCACAGATTACAGCCACACTGTCTACTGCAGACAGATAAACATGCCCGACACTTCCAAATAATAGCCTCCTTTTGCACACACACACACACACACACACACACACACACACACACACACACAC